CAACAGTTGTATAATACCGGGGTGTTTGTATGGAAAGGTGTCCCTGCAGTCACCTCCGGTGGGCAACCCTGAGGCCACATTATAATGCAGGCTGCGCCAACTCCTCTCTGCTCATGTTGCGGTCGAAAACGATCTGCTTCTCTTACTTCAGGCCTTCTCATCTTCCAACAATTACTCCACATGAAGACTCAAAAGAACCAAAAAAGTAAACCTAAACCAGCCTCACAAAAATCACCTAAACCCCTCAACATTTCGTTCTCCAACATCCGTGGCATTTTTCTCACTGCCAACTGTCCGGATATACTGGCTCTGTGTGAGACAAACCTTGTCTCGTCTATCCCCTCCTCTGATCTCTCGATCCCCGGCTACCTTCCTCTCCTCAGGAAAGACTCTCTAACCCACATGCACGGCCTTGGTGTCTATGTCAAGGACCATCTCCATCTTCCTCTATCGCTCTCCATCCTCTCAAGACTGCGGGATACTCGATAGCATATCTGACAGCACTCTCTCCACCCGTTTGCTCACATATTCGTGTTTGGTGACTTTAACGCCCATCATACCAAGTGGCTCGAGAATGCTACTACTGACCGGGCTGGCAGTCAAACCCTTAATTTCTCAATTTCTCAATCCCTCACGCATATAGTTGACTTCCCCACGCGTTTTGCCCTCAACCTGGCAGGTAAGGCCTCCCTTCTCGATCTGTGTTTTACCTCCATCCCCGAATCTTGTAGCGCCACACAGCTCTGCCCTCTTGGTAACTCCGATCATGCCGTGGTATCTGTTAACATTTCCTTCAACTCCACTCCCCGCAAATAACCTCCCATCACTAGAACCTCGTTCTACTATCGACGAGCGGATTGGGACTCGTTCCGTGACTTCTTTCGCGATGTCTCCTGGGTTGTTGTCTTTACACTCCCTGTCCAAGAATGTGCTTCTGAGGTCTCACCTTGGATTAAAGCTGGAATCGACGCTTTCATCCCCTCAAGGAAATTTAAGGTCAAGTCGCACTCCTCCCCTTGGTTCTCTGTTGCTTGCTCAGCCGCCATTGCCCATAGGAACCACTTCTTTCACCGATTTCGTAGCGACATGTCGGACTGCAATAGACGTCTCTTTGCCTCCGCGCGTAACGAGTGTAAGCGTGTCCTCAATGAAGCTAAGTCAATATTTGCTGCTCGAATGAAGGAACGTATTGCATCTCACAAATTTGGCTCCAAAGATTATTGGCGAGTCTGCAAGAGTGTCCTGAATAATCGAAACCCCTCCATACCTCCTTTATTCAACCAGTTCGAGGTCTTGACCTCCTCTACCGACAAGACTGAATGCTTTGCTCGGAAATTCTCATTAAATTCAACGCTCGACTCCTCCGGTGTACCCATACCAGTCTTCCCTCTAAGAACTGAGGCTCTATTGAGCGTCTTACACATAACCCCGTCATTGGTATTGGGCATTATCTCCAATTTTGACCCCCACAAGGCTAGTGGTGGAGATGGCATACCAGCCATTGTCTTGAAGAAATGCGCGCTTGAGCTAGCCCCCGCCCTCTCTAAACTGTATAATTACTGCCTCAAGGAATCCTGTTTTCCTGACTGCTGGAAGTCCTCATCCATTGTTCCTGTCTTTAAGAACTCTGGAGACCCCTCTGACCACTCTAATTACCGTCCTATTAGTCTCCTACCCCTCTTCGGCAAAGACTTCGAATCCCTAATCAATGCCGAAGTGGTTGACCACCTTACATCCTATAATCTGCTCTCAGACAAGCAATATGGTTTCCGCTACGCCCGATCTACAGCTTATGTGCTTACGGGCATCACTGAAACCGTCTACCAAGCCCTTCAAAATAACGGTTTGATAGGGTTTGGCATGTCGGCCTTCTTCGTAAGCTCCAGGATTATGGTATTACTGGTCGACTGTTTGATCTAATACAATCATTCCTGTCAACCCGTGAATTGAAGGTCGTCCTCTACGGATTCTCATCCAGTTCCTATCCCACGAACGCAGGTGTTCCCCAAGGCTCCATCCTTGGCCACACTCATTTCCTTATTTGCATCAACGACCATCCTGATGCCATAGATTCCCAAGTTGGCATCTACGCGGACGACACTACAATTTACTCCTGTCTCAAAAACAAATCTAGTGTCGGTGACAAAACTAACCTGGCCATGCGTCTTGAAATGGACCTCCAATCGGTTGTTAATTGGGGCAAGGATTGGCTGGTCAACATTAACGCCTCAAAAACTAAACTACTCTCTATTAATCACCATAGAGATCCTTCCCTGCCCCCATTAGAATATCTGATAGTCAACTTCTTGAGAGCAACTCCCTGTGTCTGCTCGGTCTCACGTTGACTGCTGACCTGAGATGGAACAAATACATTGACAAATCCACCGCGAGGAAAGTTGTCTTTCTGTGCCGCTCCAGGAAATTTTTCTCCTCGGAATCGATACTTCAAATATACAAATCAACCATTCACCCTAGCATGGAGTATTGCTGCCATATATGGTCTGGGGCACCTTCTGTTTACCTCGGAATTCTTGACAAGATCCAGAGACGGATATGTAATATAATTGGGCCTGATCTGACATCTCGTCTACAGTCACTCTCTAACAGACGCGCCGACGCCTTTCTCTGTCTTTTCTATAAATACTTTCATGGTAATTGCTCCGCTGAGCTACTTTCACTGGTTCCCAGACTCCATGAATTCAAGCGCCCTATGAGGCTGGCATCCCGCTCCCACCTTACACTGTAGAAACTTTTAAATGTAGCAGTCTCTTCTACTCCAATAGCTTCATACCTCGCACCTCTCGCCTGTGAAACACCCTTCCTAATTACTGTTTCCCTGAAAGCTATAATCTCCAACTATTCAAATGTAATGTCAATCGACAATTCCAGTTACCATGATCTACCCACTATCCTTCTCCCCATCCTTTCTTCTATCACTCCTATCTGCTCTCGCTCCAAATCTTCTGCAACCCCCTGCATCCTAGTTGCTTCACGCCTTGCTCGGAGCGTAATGCTTAAAAAAAATGTCAGCATTATTGCCTTTGTGGAATAAACCCATTTTCTGCAGGTACTTGATAGCAATACGATGTCGAATTTTGTCCATTTTAAAGTGACGTCGTTACTATGTGTTTTAAGAGTTTTCTTTGAACTGTCACATGTCAGTTTACCTGGAAAGAATCGATACAGTTATTAATAGAAGGTACGGTGGGGTAATGGATAACAGCTTGGATTGAGGAATCGCAGAGCCGAGTTCGAATTCCTGTCGAATCCATTACATTCACTTACGTGCTAATACACTTGGGAAAGGTATGAATCCTCTTCTTCTCCCTCCAGCTATGGGTAAAATAGCAGCACAGACTGGGTTCTATAGCCTTGGATGGCAACTGGTCTAGGAGAAGGACAACTCTGAATTCAAAACTTGCGGAGGGTCGTTTGCGGACCTTGTGGCATTCGGTGCCCCAGGTCTCTGTATTCGTCCCTTCAAAAAGTGTGGATGGTCCTGCACGAGGCCTTCACCACTATATCATGTGCCGGTGTCGGTTTCCTGGAAAGTGATCTGCTTGACCCTCATACGTCGAATCTCGACGGGAGAGTCGATTATTAATAAAAACGAGCTGAAATTTATGTATGCCAGATTTCACAGCTCTAAGATCACTCCTTCATAGCCGATGAACTTTTCAGCCCAACCTCGTATCGTATTGGTTTCGTAACTAATTTAATCCTAAATAATAAATCATTTTGCTTCGTGTGTTACCTTTTATTTTATTTTCATATAGAATGAAATAAACTCATTAAGGAGAATTAAAAAAAAAATATTCTTACGTCATTGATTATTAAATGAGAAAATTAAAACAAGATACATTTAAAATTAAACGGAAAAATTAATGGCCGGGATTTCTCAAAATATAAATAAACTTGTGTCAATTGGAAATCTCGTGATGAGAACAATTGTATTGATTCATGTAAATAACCCTAAACCTTAAGAAACCTTTGAAAACACAAAGGAGTTTTGTTTCAAGGTTGGTGAATGCAAAAGAAGTGGGGGAAAGGAAAATGAATCATGATTTTGTCGTTTTTGTTTTAAGTTTTAGTAATTTCACTCACAGCAAAAATATTTCCTGTAAAAAGATTCTGTTTGGCGATAACAAACGAAGCTTTTTCATTCATCCCGTTTTATTTTATTTTATTTTATTTCATTCTACTTCATTCATTCTGTTCTACAATTCTTTCTTTTTAGATTTCTATATTCATTCTCCGCTTGCAAAAGTTTGAAATTTTTTTTTTGTCTCTTTCCATTTTTATCTTAGGGTCAGCCGTTCTCTTTCAACTTTAACATTTTTTTCCCTTTCTAACATTGTATTCTTTCTTTCGTTCATGGTTTCGTTCTTACGTTGCGTTTTCAGTCATTCTTTTAGTTTAATATCGCTTTTAGCAAGTCATTTTCTTTCTCTTTTCTCTAAGTATTCTTTCTTAGTATTATAAAATCGAAAAAAACAAACAAACTGAGAAACAAGGAAAAGAGTACTAAACTCTTACGTGATATGTGTCCTGCTTTATGGCAGTGAATGCCGAACAAACTACTCAAAGATGAATAAAAGACTTGAAACAACAGAAATGTGGTTCTACAGAAGGATGATGAGGATATTATGGACCGATTATTTTAGCAACGATGAAGTTGTAGAGAAGAAAGAAACATAAAAAGTAAATTTTACTTAACACCAAGAAGAGACAGTTGAAATTTCTAAGGCACATAATGACGAACGATGGTTTGCAAAAATCTCATTCTTACAGGACAGTTTGAAGGCAAGACGAACAGAGAAAAATTTAGTGAGCTTGAGTAAATGGATGGTAGAACCGGGTTTAGGAGAGATAACAAAAAGATAACATTTATTAAGAGGACAGGAAATTGTGGAGAGCCATTATCATCTCCGTCCTGAGGGAAGACGGCACATAAAGAAGATGCATTCATTCATTCATTCGTTCAATTTAATATTTTTTAGCAAGTCATTTTCTTTCTTTTTTCTTTAAGTATTCGTTCTTTTGTCCATGCTTTCTTTTTTATGTTACGTATTCATTCATTCTTTCTTTCTTTCTTTCTTTCGTTTTTCTTTCTTTCTTTCTTTCTTTCTTTTTTCTTTCTTTCTTTCTTTTTCTTTCTTTTATTCTTTCTTTTTTCTTTCTTTCTTTCTTTCTTTTTTTTTCTTTCTTTCTTTCTTTTTTCTTTCTTTCTTTCTTTCTTTCTTTCTTTTAGTTTAATATCGTCTTTAGCAATGCATTTTCTTTAAGTATTTTTATTTCTTTTTTAAAATAATTTTAAAGTTTTATTTCGTTTTTCTTCATTTTTATCATCTTATTTGCCGTTTTAATAATTTATTCAATTCAGCTTTTTTTGTTTTACATCAAATATTCACCCTGTTTTTCATTCATCCATCCATTCTTTCTTTCTTTCTTTCTTTCTTTCTTTCTTTCTTTCTTTCTTTCTTCCTTTTAAAAAGTATTCTTTGTTTCTATCTTTCTACTTACATTAAGTTTTCTTCATTATAATATCTGGTTGCAAGATTTTCATTTTGTACAATTCACTTTTTCTTTTTATTTCTTGTATTAAATATTCTTTCTTTTTTTCCTTCCTTCTTTCTTTCTTTCTTTCTTTATTTATTTAATTTTCTTATCCTTTTCACTTTTTCATTCATTAAATTTTATTTCGATGTTTATTTCTTTTTAACATCGTACTCCAAGCCTTTTTCTATTTTAACATTTCCTTTTCCTTTTTAATTATTGTTTGTTTGTTTCTTTATTTCGTTTTTTCTCACTCTTTAAGTATTCTTTCTTCTTTTTAAAACTTTTGTTCTTTCTTTCAGTTATATTTCGTTTCGTTTTTCACTTGTAACATTTTGTGAAATTCATTTTCATTGTTTTCTATCTTACATTTTAATATTCTTTCTTTCTTTCTTTCTTTCTTTCTTTCTTTCTTTTTTTCTTTTTCTTTCTTTCTTTCTTTCTTTCTTTCTTTCTTTCTTTCTTTCTTTCTTTCTTTATTATAGTTTTCAGGAACGTCTGTTTTAATTCATTGTTCAACATGAAATTCCTGCTGTTGTTTTTCCTGATATTTTGCAAAAAAAAAAATAAAACATATTCCGAATTGATCATTTACTTTTTAATAAGAAAATATTTTCCGATTCTGTTAATTTAACGCATTAAGTTTTTGGACGTTTTTTTTTTTCGGCGAATATGGAAACCCTTTCAATTCATGAATATTTCTGATTTTTACTTGTGTAATTTCAAGCTGTGCCATAATGGAGTTGATGTAAGTTGCAATATGAATTCCATTAGTGAAGTCAGAGTAAGTTTTTTTTTTGTTTGGAAACTTTAGAAGTGGAGATTTCATGTTCAAAAACACGCAAAGAAGTCGACCAATGACAACACTTATGCAGAACTGAAGTTAAAAATAAGACGTGTAAAATTATATTTAAAAAAATTTAAACTGAGAATTCACAGCAAACTTCAATGAGTCAGTACAAATCATTTCAAACTATTTAAGATAAAATAAAATAGCTCGTCGAATAGTTGTCATGTGAATTAAAAACATCTTATGTAGTCAAAAGTGGGATAGTGATTCATAATTATATTAGAGATTTGCTCAAGCGATGGATATGGAGGAGTAGGCTAAACATCATGCGTCTCTCAGTGGCGCTGGACTGCCACTCTGTACACTCCTGTTTGGCTGCTCGTAACTTCTTCCTGACCTTGCTGTTCACGTTTTGGTACTGTACTCGAGCGTCTTAACTTGAATGCTTCTTTCCTCTTAGCTTTCGCCTCTTCAGAACTTCTTTCGTAATTCACGCCTGAAAGTTTTTCCAAACCTTTCGTAAAAACTCTTCACAAGCATCATTAGTTATCTTCCCTTAAACGGTGTCAGCTATTACGCACTGACTCAGCGTTCTTCACTCCACAGTTAGGGCATGTATTTTTCAAGTTGTGCACAACAATTTTATCTTCGAAAATAATGAACACAGCACTATTTGTCTTGCAATAAACAATACCCTGGTGATGACATTGTGCTATGTCGAAAGTACTCGGGATTAAATAACCACACCACAGAGATTATTCGTGAATATGAAAAGATCCAACTGAAAATAAGTAGACAAATCATGTTTCAATGAAAACATGATGCCAAAATATGCGCACTGCTGAGAGTTTAATAAAAGTGAGATGTGTCATATTGGTAAATTTATCCTATTTGTTTATATATATATATATATATATATATATATATATAAATGATAAACATATTTTATGGTATGCTGTATTTATAGGTAAAAGTGATCAATATCAGTGATAGATCATATATAGACACTGAGGTCAACACAGGGTGGCAGCAGTCTGTTTCATGCTTGAAAGCAATCTTCAGGCCATGTGTTGCATCATTGATAAGCGTATATAAATAGTCAAGCCAAAAAACAACACATGGTATGAAGATTGTGTTCAAACAGGAAACAGACTGTCACTGCTTGTGGTTAACTTCAGTGTCCACCTTTGTATTTAAATACGTTCTAGCACTGATACTGAGCACTTTTAGCTATAAATAAAGGACACCATATAATGATATTTTTTAACATTTATATATATTTTCTACAGATCCATTATACATGAATCTAACTTATGTCTCCCTAATACATAAAAATCAATGAAGGTATAAACAAAATGCGCACAAAGTATGCTTTAATAAATAATCAAAACAAAACTTTTCAAAACATCCGGTTGCGACTCATTAATTTTTTACAAACTTTAGTGTCCAGAATGTTTCTCACACAAATCTGAATATTATATGTTACTTCATTAAACGCTACACGTATGTAACCAAGAAGAATTGACTAAATACAACGTCTCATTAATCCGCGTCTCTTATGTAATAAAGTGAAGCATGTTAGATTAAGATGTTTCCTACTTGTTCTTTATCCTATATATATATATATATATATATATATATATATATATATATATATATATATATATATATATATATATATATATATATATATATATATATATATATATATATATATAATACATAAAAGGTTAATGATCAGAGTTGAATCAGATCAGGAAAGAGTAGTATTAAAAGTGCTCAATACACATGTAAAAAAATGTTTATGAAAATTTATGTATATATATATATATATATATATATATATATATATATATATATATATTTTTATGTGATTATGTGAATGAATGGTCAGGGAAAAATATAATAATAAAAGTTATAACACAAAAGATGCTAGAGACACAGCACCGCAAGCCAAAGCAAACAGTCTCTTTGCTTAAAAAGAGCGGGTCACCTGGACCTGATGAACAGCGTCTCCAACACCATCAGATGGAATAACGAGTGTGCTCTGGCCAGAACAGACAACCAGCTCACAATAAAATCGATAGCAAAGGTCAAGTTATTAATCAAGTGATCCGCTATGGAAGACCCGTATGTATTTCGAATAGTATCACCAAACGAAAATTTTTTGTTAAGTATTTTAGCAGGCACGTGCTGTTTAATCCTAACATCTAAACGCTGTGTCGTTCTACCTATGTAGTCGAGTCCACAACTACATTTAAAATAATAAATAACGGAATTAATATGATGGTGGGGGGAGTAGAACGTTATTACGCAGAGAAGAAAGGACAGACTGGGTTTGAAAAAAACAAACACGAACGTTGGCTGCATAAAAACACTCACGGGAACGAAACGAAATCTGTTTGGCAAAAGACTCGTTAATCCTACCCAACCAAGGTAAACGAAGATAGACGGGACATTTACCAGCCGTAGCAAGTTTAATTTTATTAAACCTGACAGTCTTATCCCAAATAACCGATTGAACAATATCCAACAGATAACCATTGTTCACAAGGATACTAGTTAAACAACTAATTTCCTCTTTCAAGGTGTTATCTGAACAAATGATTAAAGCCCTATGGGTCAAAGTCCTAATCAAATTAATCTTTTGTTGTTTAGGACAAAAAGAGTATAGAAACCCATAAAAGTAGACTTCATATACATTGAAGTAATAAACGAGGAAGGTGTTCTACCGTAAATTTAAGGGCAGGATGAACATCGTTGAGTAGAGAGAAAAATTGATCAACTTCCGATTCATGGTTAAACAAACAAAAAGTGTCATCCACATAACGGAATTAAACCTTAATCCGGGAAGAACCTGAAAGAAGGCTTTCCTCGTAAAATCCCACAAAAATATTCGCCAAAACAGGACCCAAAGGGGAACCCATCGCTACACCATCAATCTAACGATACATGATATTATCAAAACTAATATCGACAGACATGGTGGCAAATTTCATGAGTTCAACAGAAAACATCTTCAGCTCTAGTCAGAGAGGTTGAATTACTACGAAATAACAAATCACTACAAATATCAATAGTCTGCGATAAAGGAACACAAGAGGCTGCAAATGTCAAACGAACACATAAATCCATCAGTGGCATTACAATTCCGAATAAAGTGGGAAAAAGTAAAAGAATCTTTAATACAATAGGAACTATAATGCTGCAACTTTATAGCCAGCCACTTTGCGACTTTATGCTGGGAAGACCCAATCATCGATAACATGGGTCTCAACGGGACACCCTCCTTATGAATCTTGGGTAATCCATACAGACGGGGATGAATAGAGCCAGACGGTCTCAATTCCTCCGCCATTTTAGAAGAAAGAACACCACTTTTTACCCATTTGACAAAACGTTTATGAAATCGAATTTCAGAAGTCAGTGGGGAGTCATGAGTGTCAATGGAACCAAGACGTTGAAACTTGGAAGGGTCATTAAGTATACTTAGCATTTTATTAATGTAATCATGGCGGTCCATGAGGACAACACCAGATCCCTTATCCGGTTTCGTAATAACCAAAGAATGGTTATTCTTAACGGATCTAATAACTCTATGGCCTTCACATTTCAATTCAGAGAAAGAAATAGGAGAACTAGCATAAGAATGAGCCGAATCATTCTATTTGGCTCGGAAGTCGCTAGATTTATCACCAGACATATATTTATATTCAAATATTTTAAGAAAAGGTAAATTGAATAAAATTTTACTGATTAGATCTAAAATTGAAACATTGAAGGTGAAGACAACTTTTTTATATTCTTGTCTTTAGCACCAGATTTGTACGCCTTTTATTTCCTTTCAGATTAGGCGGGCAAATATATATATATATATATAAAACTACAAACTCTCTCTCTCTCTCTCTCTCTCTCTATATATATATATATATATATATATATAACCAATTAAAACATCCAACTGCATCTGACTAACTTAAGAATGTTTCTCACATATACCTGAATATTATCTGTTACTTTATTATGCGTGATACGTATCTAACCAATAAGAAATAAAAAACAAACACAACATACCATTAATCTACGTCTCTTTGTTTCATCATTTTATATTATTTCTGTCTTGATTCCGGACAAAAATTTAATAAAGTGTAACATGTTAGATTAAGATCTGTTTCCTACTTGTTCTTTATCCTATCATATATATATATATATATATATATATATATATATATATATATATATATATATATATAATACGTAAAATGTTAATAATCAGAGTTTTTAACTTTAAGAATAAGAATATCAGTTGCATCCGCTACTTTGGTTCAAACCTCGCGATAGCCTCTGGCGAATTTATCAATTGACCTCCGAACGCTTCATGTTTTAAAAACTAATAAACGCTATATTATTTTTTCGTCTCTTCCATCTTCTTCTTCTTCTTCTTACTTCTTTACATCTTTCTCCTCCCTTTCTATCACACGTCATTTTGTATTTATTTAAAAAAAAATAATATAGCATACATTAGTTTAAAAAAAAAAGAAAAAAAAGATAAAATTGTAGGAAATCAGTTGATAAAAATCGGAGGTTATTGTAAGTTTGAAACCAAGGTAGCAGTTTCAACTGACCTCCTGATTTTTAAAGTTACTTATTATTAACTTATTATTAACACCCAACACACGCCTACCCAATTTAAACAATTCGCCCTAGCTG